TTATTGTCCATCCGTGACATTATTAGTCAGCTGACAGGTTACATACATATTGCAAGGCGAGTGATAATGAATCTTAAATGGTACATTTTTACTTTCACAACTGTCAAAGGCTTATAAATTATAACAAAAGGTCAACTTTTTTTTTCTTTGGGAACAAATCTTATAGTATTGTATCCTATTTTGTATTACAATAAAAAAAACATGTTTCTGGTCCTCCAAAATCTTCTTTGGCAGAAACGAATGAAAATCAATTATCAAATATTTATAAGCCTTACGAAAATAATAGAAGTTAGGATGATAGGTATCTACTAATTAAAAATGATGAGTAATATCAATTGCTTTTATTTTATTTTAGGTTATTGGAAAAATCCAACCACACAGTCTTGGATTTTTAAAATTTAAGTAATAACACGATGGATTGGAACGAAGTAATACTTAATTACTGATCTGCTTATCCAACTGGAAATCATCCCTTAAGTTAATAGCTAACCAATTAGAAACTGCTTGTCATGAATTTATACTAATCCGTTAACTCCTTTGTACTCGCTCAAGACCTATTTGATTGGCACTCAGTTGGTAGTGTCCTTTTTTGGTGTGTTATACCTTTATCTGAAGTGTCCAAGGAATCATAAAGTGATTTTTCTCTATTCCTCTTTTTAATAGGTGCGTCGAAGACCTTTATAAATAGCAGTATTCTCAAACCTAAACATGTGATAATTATCGCATGATAATCCTTGCACTTAAGAGGCTTGCAGTTTTATTTTTTTATTAATAGTTTGAATCACATGGACTAGTACAGTTCCTTTAAAACTATCTGGATCTTGGTGTACACGTCGAAATATTTAATAAATAATTTATTCTGACTTCATTCGTCGACTTTTTAAACCATCTTAAGTCTTAAAACCTCCCAATTTTCTCAATGACTACTATTGTAGTAATAATAAAGTTCTCTAATTTATCAATGATTATGAAATACCTATTTGATATATATCGTGATACCCATTTCGTATCTCATTTATCAAACTCCATTGCTTCTGAGTGCCGGAAGAAGGATTTACACAAATGTATTGTAGGTTAGAACAAAACTTCTAATTTATGTATCTTTTTGAGTTTATATTTAAATAGATCTTTTTATAAGATAATAGATTATTTAATTTAAACTTTTAAAACATGGAACAATGACATTTTTCGACATGTCACCTTACATCATGTCTAACATTGGCTTTCGTTGCCTTTCCTCACGCCCAACCTGCTCCAATTTTCTTATTCCGTTGTTCGCCATTTAATCTTGAGAAAATGAATTCTTACTTAACCGGATGGTTTCGACACCAAATAGTTTTGAAACTTAAAATAAAATATAAATTAAAACGTGTATAACTTCTTTTTTTCCTTTCCACAGTACAACTATAGGAGGGTCGTTTATTTCTAATTTTAAACGTTCCATACTACTTGGTTTATTGCTTGTAAAATATTTTGTTTTTTTCTTCCTGTGCCAACATCAGTTCGTTATGTAAATAATATAAATTGAAGTAAACATTAAAAAAATAGAGGCATCTTATATCTGCATTTTATAGTATATATTTAATTATTATCTCTAATATTAGATATGTAAGTATATTACTTTTATTTATTTATTTTTTATTACAACTCCGTGTTATTAGCCGTAAATATCTGTTCTGTAACGATTTCTCAGTCAAGTGATATATCGGTTCGAGATGGTGCTCTTAGTGTCTTTTGAATGTTAGAAAGCTGTGCAACACGTACATTTGTTTTGGCTTGGCTGCGAGGGGGTTTCGTTGTGAAACGGAAATATATCGACTTATATCGCGGTTTCCTCGGCGTGTAGGCTGGCTATTGTTGTGAAAGAGGTAATTTGATACAGAGAGGACAAACGTCCATGTAACCTGTCGCGGTACTGTCATGTAGTTCGGGGTTCCCTCAGGATTTTTAAATGTTTCCAAGCTTTCTCCCGCGGACATTCATGGATCCCCCGAGCGGATCGGCCGTATCAGAGATGGGACGATAACACAACGAGCCGCTACATGACAAAACGAGGGCCATAGATGCAAATACGGTGAAACTATCGCCGGGACTGACCCGCCCTTACATAAGGTAACTGGATACCTGGAGCTCTAGCTACCTTTACACTTTCTCGTAGCTTCCAACTCGGACACTCTTTCATAACGCTGTTCCTGGCTGAGTTCAATTAGCCCAATTGTCTCCACCTACAGCAGTTTATTGGTAAATAGATGAATCGCTCCTTACGCAAGGGACCTGTTATAACAGGCCTATAGATCTTCCTGTAGGTCAGAGTTAGACAAGAAGAGGCTGATATACATATGAGCACCATTGGCAAATCTCTCCTGCCACCTGGGCTAGATTTGAGCAACGCTTCCTGTTGACTACCGAGCCTCCAGTACGAGAAAGTCTGATCTCTGCTTAGTTGCTGGATCCCGATCCTTCTGATTTGCATAGCCTTTATCACTTACGAATTTCGAAAGCTGTTTTCATTTTTTTTTTAATATAACTTAATATCAAAGAGGTATTAATAAGTAACTTCATAAAACCCATATAAATATTTTAGTTGAAGAGATGATTGGTTAGAATGTTCAGTAAAAAAAAAAATGTAAAAATAAATAAATTATATTTATTTTTATTCTTGCCGACTTCTCCGCCCAAAGTTCAAGCCTTCATCAAGGCTAAGGAAAAAAATCCAGATAACAATAGGTATGAGAAACTTTTAACATTAAAAAGAAAATAATATGTAGGCGAAACTTATAGTCTAAAAAATGTAGGTAGAATAAACTTAAAGTAAAATAAAGTAGGTAGAATAAATTTGAAGTAAATGTAAAATAAAAATAACAAAGTTAGGGATAGAAAGTAACGGAAGCCAAGTTAGGATATATAATTAACATATATAATGTTACCGTTATGGTATATAACCTAACTTTGCTTCCTTTAAGTTTATTCTACCTACTTTATTTTACTTTAAGTTTATTCTACCTACTTTATTTTATTTTAAGTTTATTCTCAGCCTCAGAATAACCCTGAAAAGCCCCGAAGGCCTCAATAATGCCGTAAATTCTTTTACCACCTCTATGCTGCTTCCTCCCTAAATCTCTCCTCGAAAATTCCTAAGAAAAATAATTTACCTCAGCACCTGCTAGACCTAATTCACATCAAACGCCGTGCCAGAATATTATGGCAAAGTTCAAGACACCCCACCGATCGTCGCCCTTATAATTATTTCACTAAACAATTAAATCAGGAATTGGCCATCCTCAAATCCCAATCCTTTAACTCCTACCTTACACGTATGTAAGGTTTGGGGCACGCTCGGGATTCTTTGGCAGTTATTGGTCCCACGTTTCTACGCTATTATCCTGAGCACGCGTGGGTCCCTCGATACGATCTCTTATTTTTTCTTTAGTTCACGATAAATTTTTTTCACTGTTTATATTTAGGCATTTTTATTCAATGTATACAACAGTGTGAAATAGTCATTTTTTTTTTTAAACAAATAAAATTAAAGGTACTTTAAGGCTAGAAATTTTGAAAAATCAACATTTACGCCCTGTTAGAGAACATCAATGAGGATAAAACCTATCTTACATTTAAAATAAACTTGATTGTAATTAGCATAACGTAAAAAAAAGTTTCTGAGAGGTCGCGCACCATAAGAATCACAAGTACTACATAAGTCATTTCAGTTTTGTGTTTATTTTTATGTGGTATCCTTGGTCCTATCCTTTCACAGTTTTTACAGCTGACATCCCAACACTGTCATCACCACGAATGCCGATGACACATGTGTCCTATCACTTATTTTATTTTATTTTTATCTATCTGTTTATTGAGTAATAATACATTTTGCCACACTTAAGGGCACTGAGTACTAAGGCTGAGTGAGGCACATTCATACCATATATACAAAACATAAAAAAAAATAAATAAATAAATAAAAAAATAAATAAATAAAAAATATAAAAATCTATATAACAAAGGCAAAAACTATAATAAACCAAGGAAATGTAACTTAGAGTTAAAATTAAATGAAATACAGAAATTCGTAGCAAAATTAAATAAATTATAAGTAATAGAAATAAATAGAAAAACATTCATACTTAAATACATATCAGTTAATAATGATCCAATAATTGCATCCCTAACTCTCCTATCACATATCACAAACCTCGAAGAATGGTGTCAAAATTGGAGGATTAAAATAAATTCCAATAAATCCCGTCAAATCACCTTTATCCTTCGTCGTAAACCTATGACTTCCTGTCCTACAGTATATTAATACCCCACTTATCCGTGTTGAACAAATCTGATACCTTGGACTATACTTGGAAAAACATCTAACTTGGAATCCTCTTATCAGACTGAAACGACACGAAACCGCTCAACGTTTCCAACTACTCCAGCATTTACTAGACTAACGCTCTAAGCTTTCAGTTAATTACTAAAGACTCATAGACATGGCTACAATTAGACCTATTTGGATTTACAGAGTTGAGATCTGGGGCTCCACAATTCCATCGAATTCCTCACGTATCCAATCCTTGCAATCCAAAATCCTTCGTAAAATCCTTAATGCTCCTTACTTTGTCACTAATAAAATCATCCATGAAGACGTTAATGTTCCTTATGTTTCCGAATTGGCCCAATCCAGATACCTATCCTTCCATAATAAACTTCAGAACCATCCGAACCCTCTCGCTTCTAACCTTGCTTCCTATTCGATCCCTGATAACCCTCCGAGGCGTCTGAAAAGAAGATGTCCTCGAGATCTCCTATTGTAAATACATTTTTTTTAGAGTGCTTCCGGTGGGAAGTGTTTTCATGTTTTTATTTTCTGTTATCACATTTACTTAATTTATTCTTTCTTAATACAGTTGTAAATATCATAAATAAATAATAAAAAAGTGTTTATTTTTATATATATAAGTGCAGGAAGAAATGTCAGACCAATAAACTATTGCCTTGTTCTGTTGCAGGGGAGAAGCCATACAAGTGCCAGTGGGCCGAGTGCGAGTGGAGGTTCGCCAGGTCGGACGAGCTGACGCGACACTACAGGAAGCACACCGGAGCTAAGCCCTTCAAGTGCCACATCTGCGAGAGGAGCTTCGCCAGGTCGGACCACCTCGCGCTACACATGAAGCGCCACCTCCCGAAGGCGGGCAAATAGCCCCCGCCTCCTCGGTGTCTAAGTTTCGGCCATGTTCCTTCCTTGTTGTCGTCGGCATCAGGAATTAGACGGGATTCCTTCTGGCTGGCAGTGTGCATTATCATCATCAATTTTATTTTTCTATCTAAAACCGTATCTTTTGTATTTTCTATTTTTGAAAAAAGAAAGTAATTGTAGAATATCATTTCTCTCAGTATCAATGTTCAAAATATGTTGAATTATGTCATTAATCTATGAACTTCCAATATGAACCTTTCTGAAATTTCGATCATTGATTCCTGATGTCTACCGTAAAGACTTGAAATTATTTATAACATGGAAGTTGTATTTATATCTAATATGACAAAATCCTCATTAGCTGGTAAATTTGATAAGAAGCTGGAGTGGCCGGAGTCAGTAAGATGTCTTTCAGGTCACGGACTAAATATTTGAAAGAATTCGGCTTGTGCCGCGCTAGCTTCTGTGCCCAAGATTTAAACCAGTACGAGGATCGTATGTAAAATTCTTTATATACATGCATATAAAATTGTATGCGATTAATTGTTATTTAAAATTACTCTAATTTAACAAAACTTAAAAGTTTTCCCATGAATTCTTGCCAAAGTGCCACAAACTTTCCGTCTCCTATTCCCGCAGGTTGGCGGAAAAGTCCTGTTAGATATATAACCAGGGATATTTAGTGCCTTAGATATATATGTATATATATATATATATATATATATATATATATATATATATATATATATATATATATATATATATATATATGATTTATGTATATAATGATTTATTTTCCAATCAACAAACCCACGTTATATGTTGTCTGTTAATTATTTTTTATATATATAGTATATAAATGTATTTTTTTACACTTTTATATACGGCGTGTGAGTTATTTTTTTTTTAGTGATTAAGTAATGGTTGTGATGAGGTAACTGAAATCAAACAGTGACTTAATTTAAAAGAATATTTTTTAATAAAATGTACTTATAACAAACCACCATTTAGGGCACACAGCTCTCAAAATATATTATAAGAGATGATGATTTTACTTATAAATATATATATTGGAGTGTTATCGGTGTGAACCGATTATAAATATTTAGATTGCCGTTTAAGTATTGTAAATATTATATTTAATTTTAAAGTATAGGTTTCATTGTTTATAGAGTAACAATTTAACTTTTAGGGCACAGAGTTATGTTTTCTTCTTCTCTTTCAGTTGTAGATATTATCACTTATTTAAAACTTATTTCAGTGTTTGTTTTTTTTGTTTTCTTTTTATGTTTAGATAGTGAGCCGATGATTGCGTTGGATGATGTTATTAAGTTAATTTGATGATTGTACTTTGGCTGAGGTACTTAAGATTGGGTTTTTTGTACGGCTCCTTCTGTCCAACTGTTCAATAATATCCTCATTAATTTATAATTAAAGATCTGAGATAAAAAATATATTAGCAATATTCGTATAGCTTGGGTACCTCTTGTTGAGATAACTTGTAGATAGACACATACTGATATTTTTTTAGGAAAGTTCCAAATTTTCAATATTTGCCTTAAAATAGAATTTATTCCAAGGCCCTAGCCATGTTTTACTGTTGAATTTGAAGTTTGTATCCAATCCTTCCCCATTAATAATGCCAATTTTTTCCAGTTATAAAATTAAGAAACAATGACTTTAACTAAAATTAGTTCACTATGAAATTGTTAGTTATTTCTGTTTTGAAAACAAATTTTTTTCTAGTTTTGGAATAATTTTTTTCCTAAGGTGTAAAGATTTACGGTATCAAATTATTTCAGAAATCTCTCAAAATCGGCTTCTTCCAACCTCATGATTTCCAACACCAATCTTCCCTTTTAAGTCCGACAACATGATTTCCATGAGTGACCATGATATTTTTATTTTAGTGCTATGTATTGGGATAATGTATTCGAGCAATAAATAATGTTCTTTTCCTATAATTACAAGCCAAGCCAGCAAACCTCAACAAGCGTAGAGGACAACGACTTGAGTTCAGTGACGGCTCCAAAATCAGTATGCATGATCTCGCCTTCCGCCTTGTCCTCTGGAAACAATTATCCTTCAGAGATTATCGACCTTTTGCTAGTTTTTTTTTTGGTTTTGTTATCGTTTTGCATTCGACAGCGAGGTCTTTTTTTGGTACCGGATGCTCTAGACATACATCAGTTGTGCCTGAGATACCTTACGGTTCAATATTTTAACCGTCGGTCAAAATCATACTCAAAAAATACGAAAAGTAATTTGGTTCCTAATATATTTTTTTATGAATGGCAATCCTATAGCATATAAATATTTCAAATTTATTTAACAAAAATCAAAACAAACGATAAAAATCTTCCAATCGTCAATAAATGACTAAGAAAAATATTTGTCTTGTTTTAGACTATTTTTATATAGTTAAATTAAGACAATTGTAGTGTACTTCCTGAGGAAATTCTCAATTTAAATAACACATTTAATATTCGAAGTACTGAAAAGTTGATAAGAAACATAGGTATTTTTTCAAAAACTACTTTAATAATTTTAAATTATTAATATTGCTCAATATTTTTTATAATTATCGTATAAAAAGAGATATTGCAACTATTTTTCTAAGAACGCATTATTTTTTTCTGTAAAATCGTAAGATAAATTGAAAATGTGTCCGAACAATAAAATTAGATTATGTTTTATCTCAACGAAATTATTTTGATTTTTTTTTTTTATAAGTAATAAAATCTTATTTCCCGTCTGTTATTTCAGAATATTCATAATATTTCAAAGCACAAATAAAGTAGAAATTATTTAATTAAAAACTGTCAAGCAACTTCTAATGTTAAATAAAATATGACTAATTATTTATCTATCACAAATTAAATCATTTCAAGGAGGAAAAATTATCTATTATTTAAATGTTAATTTTTTTAATACTTAATAGTTGACCGTTGTATTATTAAGGAAGGATGTGGTCCGGGGTGGCGGTCATAAATAGACTAAATAGTTGCTAAACTATTTTATTAAAAAGTCAAAGTTTCATCCGGACTTTGCAGGTCTTCTTCAGGGAGGTGTGTTCAGCAAAGAGTTTCACTTAGAACTGAATAAAACTATCAACTTACATACCCTGCCCTCGGGACCCAAAGCGTACACTAATGTTAAAATTCAATCAACACATTAAAAACCTACCTAGACCGAACAAATTAACCGATCCACTTACTTCAACCTCGTATCCTACAACTCCTTATAAGCGGAGTGTTATATGGACTCCCGAAAATTCACGAACCTGGTAATCTCTTCAACCTTATCACCTCCAATATATATAGTCCCTATAGCTAAACTCAGCAAATTCCTTTTAACCTCTCTCCAAAAACTCAGCCACAGTAACCCTTATGACCTGCAAAGTCGGGTCGAAACGTTAGCTTTTATTAAATAGTTTTGCCACAATTTAGTCTATATATGACCGCCAACCCGGACCATCTCCTTCCTTGTTAATTTATTTATATATATATATATATATATATATATATATATATATATATATATATATATATATATATATGTAGAATTATCAATGAAAAAAAAAAAACTTTGCTCAAATAACTTTTATGTTTGGTTAATTTAAAAATTAACCAAACATAAAAGTTATTTGAGCAAAGTTTTTTTTTTCATTGATAATTGATCTAAGGATAGATAGCACAATAATTCATATTGTTTTATAGTATCTTATATTCATATCTCCAACCTAATGAAACCCATTTTTTTTTTTTTTTTTATTAATTTGGAAACTTAGTATGTTTATGTCAGTTGAAGTTGTCTCAACAAAAAACCTTGACCTACGAAATAATTGTTGACAATGTTTTTGTATTAAAGACAGAAGGAGCTTTATAATTAGTTGTGTTATCGAGTGTAAGTGCCCTTGTGTCGTAAAGGTGCTAAACTACTATATTACTGTATATAATGTACTTAAGAGCCTCAACCAATGGGGTTTGTATATCTGTATGGACAAATGTAAAAATAGAAGTTACCAAGATTTGGATTTGTGTTTTATCTTTCCCCATTCCTTAGAATAATCTACAGATAGATCCAAAATCAGTATAAAAACTTTAAATGCTTTTGAGTTATACTTTTACTTGAAGACATTGGAGAGTGTGGATCAAGAGTGGCGCTGGATCCAACTAAAGAAAAAAATATTCATGCTCCATAGTTTTATCCCACACTAAACGTTTGTTACATGATGAAATCAACAGTTATTTTATATTTTGAAACTACTACGGAATAATTAGCAGTTAAATGTATGATGTTACTTATTGTAAGCATCATTTCATATTATTTATCACAATTTGGATTTCACTTAAAATATTATAAATGCTGTCTTAATTGGGCTTAATGATTACAGAATAATAAACACACATAATATATATTTTTGTTTACCCTCCCTAAAGACAATACTGGATCTTCCCCTGTCCGAACACAGTGATATTTTACCAATTCACAATATACGTCAATGTACAATGTACAATCCAAAGTCGACGTTTTAGCATAAGTGACTAATTAGGTGGCATACAGCAGAAGGGAAAGAATTCATAAAATATGTAAACATGAATTAGGAATGGATTTTAGTAGGAATAGGGCCAAGAGAACCATCCCTTAGTCCATTGATATAGAAATGGGCGTTTGATCAATTTTTCCTTGTCCTTTTGATCAATTGAGTCCCTGAAGATAGCTATTATGGAGTGTGCTACAGATGAACTAAAAATTAAAAATAATTCCTCAAAATGAACTTAACTAAATTTTTTATATATGGCTAAATACAAAACATAGACGAACCTAAATTCAAATGTAAATTATAAAATAATTAACATTGGTTGACTTCCTATATTGGAATCATCACTCAAAACTGATAATCGTTACACTGAATATAAAAATGAAAATAAGGAACAAAAATAACCAAACCACCACAATGAAACTCCATTATTTTGCATGGCTAAAACTTTGTACAAAAA